GAAACTTGAAGGTGTGTAAAATGGCACTTATAAATAGGGTAGATGCCTAATTTTTATTTTAATGTCCGTCTGGTAGATTATTTTAAATCATCAGAGACGTATTTTTTATTTTCTTACAGAAACGAATACTTTCGACGATATATTGATTTGAAATGTCGCGTGACGTCACTTCTATGTATATTTTATACGAAGAAATGACGTTTTAGCTCCCACTCCTAAACTTTGATTCGTTTTATCTAAGTATTATTTTATTATACCTACGACAAAATAAAAAATACGTGTCTAATATTTTTTCATTACCTAACTTACCTACGGACTAATTAAATTTTTAATGTTCATACCCTGTCATCATTTAGGATGCTTCTAACTTTATGTAACATACATTCTATGTTCGTATATAATATATTATGTATGTACATACTACCAGTCTTTGTAAATAACTTTAGTCATTTAACATGACGTTTTTTATTATTTATTTTTGTTCTCACACAGACAATAATCATTGAAGCCTTAATACGAGCTTATTTCATCATAATCATCAACAGCCTATAAATGCCCAAAGCTGAGCAAAGCCTCTTCTCACACGGAGAAGGTTTCAGCATTAAATAAATAAATGAACACTCGGAATGAGTCACATTTTTTTTTTATGGCTTAAGCCGGTAAACGAGCAGACGGATCACCTGATGGTTAACAATCGGTGTCGCCCATGGACACCTGGAACACCAGAGGCGTTACAAGTGCGTTACCGGCCTTTTGGGGATTAGGAGTTTGAGGATCGTTGGGGAATTGGGGAGATTGAGGAAGGAGAGGGTAATTGGGACTCCGGTTATCTCACTGACACGATGAAACATAACGCAAGCGTTGCTTCACGTCGGTTTTCTGTGAGGCCGTGGTATCACTCCGGTCGAGCCGGCCCATTCGTGCCGAAGCATGGCTCTCCCACACTTATACATTGGTAGGTTTCAAACCCCTCCCGGTTCTCATGCATGCGGGCGCCCTCATGCCACCTCTATTTTAGCGTTCTAATGGTTCATTGAAGCCGGCCAATCAGAGGCCTTAGTACTAGTTTATTTTAAGTTTAAAATAATCGTAACGAGTATGCGTTCGGCGCTCTGATTGGTTAGGTCATTGAAGCCGGCCAATCAGATCGCCGAACGCCATTTCGTTTCATTGACGTTTAAACGTATACAAATTCGTACTAGGACGTCTGCTATTTTAAGTTTAAAATAAAATAAATGTATGAAGATAAAGTAATTTGTTCTTTATTCTAAAGTCGGACGTCACATAATAGAGTACTGTGTATTGTATTTAATTAATGATATATGTAAATTAACAAACATTTTCAAAATGGTGTTTATTTTATTTATGTTATTTTTGATCTGTGGTAAGTGTACTAACAAATTACGTTTATATTTTTTTTGTGAGATAAGCCGGTAAACGAGCAGATGGATCACCTGATAGTAAGCAATCGGCGTCGCCCATGGACACCTGGAACACCAAAGGCGTTACAAGTGCGTTACCCGCCTTTTGGGATTAGGAATTTGAGGATTGTTAGGGATTAAGGGATTGGGGAGGGGGAGGGGTAATTAAACCTCCGGTAACCTCACTTACACGACGAAACACAACGCTAGCGTTGCTTCACGACGGTTTTCTGTGAGGCCGTGGTATCAGTCCGGTCGAGCCGGCCCAAATTTCAAATATACTATACAGGCACTTTTGAACATCAAAACCAAATATTAAAATATTGAAAATATCAATCTGTCGGTCAGTCCTTTAGTGAAGCTATTTGTTCGTTCCAACGTGTAGATTCCTATGGAGAAGAACAAGCAAAGAAACTCCATAGGTTACACTTTTTCAATCAGGTTCACAAAATTATACATACATAGATAGGTTTATGAGAAGTTATCAATTGTATTTATTTTGTCACAGGTCACGTATATCCCCTAGCTGCCCACAAGCCACAAGCAGACACATTCCTAGATTCGTTGGCGCACAAACTGAAACTCGAACAGTGGGAGAAAGATGAAGCGCCATGTTTGGAAAGTGCTTTAAATGTTTTGGAAAACGTGAAGAATCATACTTTGTGGGCGACATGGAGTAAGTTGAATAGTTTTTTAAATATTTTGAAAAAATATACGTAAATAGTACTATCCCAAAGGTACCGGGAGGAAATGAAGTTGCCGGTATACTTTTATTCGAAGAAGTACTGCTACATCACAAACATATAACATATAAAATACACAAAAGTAACAAAATAAAGGTCTGATACATGCGATATTAATGGCGTACATAGCATTGGCAATTTATAGGCTTAAGAATGGCTTAAAAATTGAATCCAATTTGTGAATTGCAAATATCTTGTTGGTAGAAGAAAAAATCTTAATTAGGATAATTAAAATTTATAATCATATTATTATGATTATTAAAATTAAAATGTAACATAATAGAATAATAATATTATTACGATTATAAATTGTAATTATCATAATGATGATTATTTAATCAGTTACTGATTCAAAGAGGAGTGGGAACGTATTTTTTATTTCCATTGTGTTTTAATCAACCTACCTTATTTGTTAAAGTCGAATAACATGTTAATTGAAAAAAAAACTGCTTAAAGATGAATCTAGAAATCTTTTGGCACAGATTTCTAGATTCATCAAAACCTTGGCAAATCAGCCGCTAGGTCGAAAAATAAATTTTAGTACAGTCGGCTACAAAACTTTTTTAAAACTCACTAGATTTTTTATTTTTATTTTTGTAATGCGTACTGAATTTTAAAGTTAAGACTCTGTGAATAAAAATAAACGAAGGTAATCATGAGACTGCCTCGTTGGCCGAGTGATAGCAAGTAGGACTGCCGGGCAAGGGGTTTCGGGTTCGATTCCCGGGTCAGGAAAATAATTATTAGTTTTTAAAAAAAATCTCAGTAGTAGCACGGAGTCTGGAACTGTGCCCGGTATATGGCAATAGGCTTACCCTCTATTACATGGGACTCATAACCTCTGCCTACCCCTTCGGGGATAAAAAACGTGATCTCATGTATCTTATGTTATGTAATCATGAGTATATGTGATTAGGTTGTGTGGTAGTGTTAACAATGTACAATCACATACCAATTACATGGAGGGTATTTTGAATATACAGCATGGAACTATAGGGTAGACGGTACCACACCAGTCAAAACATTATATTCTCATTTCTCCCTTTAATTCAAGCTATGCATCATTAAAGTCAAAGTCAAAGTCAATGCATTTATTTCAATTAAACCATTGTTTGGTACTTTTGAAACGTCAACAAATACAAAATAAATAATGGTCTGTCAGTCTGTCCGTCAGTGAAACTAGGTGAAGCTAGGTGCTCATTCCAAAATGTAGATTTGAATGGAGAAGAACGAGCAAGAAACTCCATTCGTCACTCTTTTTAAAAAGTATGTTCTACAATGTCTCTGATACATATTTCAATACTGTACGCATATGTAAGAACAATGCAAAGACACGCTTGACGCATTATACTAATAACTTACTAAAATAAAAAACATTAAAAATCTTAAGATCTAACATGGTGCTCACATGACAATCCATAAAAATAGTGCTTCTATACAAGAAAAGAGAAACTCTTTGTTTCAATAAAGAAAGAAATGCTCGATGCCATAAGGAAACTAGATTGTATACATTAGAATTAAAGTATTAAATTATGTATTAAGTTACCTACTATTGGAATTTATTTAAATCATTCTTTTTGCAGTCTGGAATGCCAACGCTCTTCCTACAGGCAATCTGTATGGATCCTTTAGACATTACGCAAGTTACGACCAATGTCTCAAACCACCATGGCTGCACACCCATCCACAATTGAAAACGAAGTACTGCTTCACTGATTTTCTACTTTCTGACGAGAGCGATGTCAAAACAGTTGCAGATTATGACCCTATGGGGTCAACTATGGAATTTATTAATGTGAGTACCTTTTTTTGTGTCGCGGAGAACCTAACAGGTTACCGGGGCTCCGGCTCGAAGCGCAGGAGAGGGAACGGGGTGGTTTTTAGTCAGTAAAAGTCTGACACTCCCTCCCGCCTCATCCAGGCGGGAGAAGCCATTCAATGATTTCCTTCCTTAAAAAAGTAGCTTTTTGTGACCAAATAATCTTTAAAAGATGCCATAATTAGTCGCACCCACTCGCACAAAGCGATTCGCTTCAAGCTTTCTTGTGCATACTGCTAAGGAGCCAGAGTCTATGTTTCCTGAAGGCTATAATCTGGGTGTTTTCAAGGCCCGAGTTAATAGGTTACTTACAGGCACATATGCTGCATCGTAGGCAGCATCATCGCTTACCGCTAAGAGAGATAGCGGCTAAACGTCGGCCTACCAAATATAAAAAAAAATATCACCACGACAATGTAGTCGTCGTCAAAAAATCATAATAAGGTTTTCATATCGTCCTTTTTTGCTAAAAATAGTTCACGTATTGCCTCATTGGCCGAGTGGTCGCAAGTGCGACTGCCGGGCAAGGGGTCTCGGGTTCGGTTCCCGGGTCGGGCAAAGTATTACTGGGTTAGTAGAAACCTCAGTAGTAGCACGGAGTCTGGAAATGTGCCCGGTATATGGCAATAGGCTCACCCCCTATTACATCGTAGTGAAAAGTGGGTGATGTTGTGTTATGTAGTTCACGTATTTTTCATTACAGTCACCATCTCTATCTGGTTTGCCTGTGAATCATCTCATGTGGGGCATATGTATCCCGGCAATCTGTTCATCTACAACTGTCTCTAAATTGACCAAAGTGATGTATGAATCAGCCACTTTAAGCAGCATAGCGTCTGACGTCACGGTGAAACACTGCCAGGAGGCTGGTGAGAGCCTGCCATACTCCACTGGGTTTTATATTTTCATGTAAGTTACATGCAGTAGAACACTCGTTTTAGCCTGCGAAAGGGTTGGTACGTATACTATTTTTACCAGGTATTTCATTATATTAACTTGTTTTTTTTCCACAGAGCCTTAGTATTGTCATTAATGGCAACCGCTTTTGCTTCTACCTACTATCGACAGCATGTGCCGACTGAAGAACAGTCCTCGAACAACTTAAGTAAGACATTCTTATATAATAATATCTTTCTAGTTTTTACCCGTGGTTTGTCCTATTAGCTTTTACGCACGATGTTCTTCTCTGTAGTTAAAAGAAAATTAATTCAGTAAAGTCAAAGTCAAACTCATTTATTTCATATTAGACCAGGAAGACACTTTTGAACGTCAAAAACAAAATATTGAAATATTAAATGATAAGAAAAAATGTCAGTCTGGAGGTCAGTCGTCTAGTGAAGCTATTTGCTCGTTCCAAGGTGTAGATTCTTATGGAGAAGAACGAGCAAGAAACTCCATAGGTTACTCTTTTTCAATCATATTCACAATGAAATTTTTAGTTACGTTCTATAGCTAGTAAGGCGTAAAATAGATATCGGTAAGACGACTTGCTTTGCAATTGACATTACATAATTGTTATAGATATTGAGAAATTCGAAATCTAAAAACCCAACAATAACGTCCAACCTTAGAAATTTTGTGTAGAATTATAATATGATCATAATTATTTATTTTACAATTATTATGGGTTTTGGACTGCCTCATTGGCCGAGTGGTCGCAGGTGCGACTGCCGGGCAAGGGGTCTCGGATTCGATTCCCAGGTCGGGCAAAGTATTATTAGATTTAAAAAAAATCAGTTGTAGCACGGAGTCTGGAATTGTGACCGGTATATGGTAATAGGCTCACCGACTATTACATGGGACAGTGACATAATGTGCGCCTCTGTCTACCCCTTCGGGGATAAAAGGCGTGATGTTATGTTATGTTATGTATGTTATGCATTTTGCAATTTTAATAAAAATGAATCTTATATTCTAGTAAAGATGATAACAAAATCTTTCTGCATCAACAAGAACCATGAAGACTTGACAAAAGTCAATAAGGATGAAATTCATGTGTTGAACGGCATCAGATTCCTTACTTCAGCTCTGGTTATAGCTATACATGTAGTGTTCTACATGTTAGTAGCTGGTGTAAGCAATTCAATGGATCTTGATGCGGTGAGTCCTGAAAATAAGCTTTGTATTATTTTACCTACTTTATTTAAATCATTTTGTGTCATCATCATGAGTGTGGGAGAGCCATGCTTCGGCACGAATGGGCCGGCTTGACCGGAGTGATACGGCCTCATAGAAAACCGACGTGAAGCAACGCTTGCGTTGTGTTTCGTTGTGTGAGTGAGGTTACCGGAGGCCCAATTACCCTCCTCTTCCCCAATCTCTCCAATTCCTGAATCCGCAACGATCCTCAAACTCCAAATCACCAAAAGGCCGGTAACGCACTTGTAACGCCTCTGGAGTTCCAGGTGTCCATGGGCGACACCGATCGCTTACCATCACGTGATCCGTCTGCAAGTTTACACCGGCTTATGCCATAAAAAATCTCTGAGGTAGCACACTATATCGAATAATACAACAATTTGCATTTTCTCCAACTATGATGGTGTTATCAGTACGAAACAATTGGTATTATGACTAATTTTATGAGATAAGCCAGGTAAACGAGCAGACGGATCACCTGATGGTAAGCAAACGGTACTCCTGAACACCCATGGACACCCGAAACTCCAGAGGCGTTACAAGTGAATTACAGGCCTTTTGGGGATTAGGAATTTGAGGTTTGTAGGAGATTCAGGGATTGGGGAGATTGGGAGGGGGGAATTGTGCCTCCGACAACGTCAATCACACAGAAGTGTTTTTTCACTACCTAGTTGGCCGAATGGTCACAAGTGCGACTGCCGGGCAAGGGGTCTCGGGTTCGATTCCCGGATTGGGCAAAGTATTACTGGGTTTTTAAAAATCTCAGTAGTAGCACGGAGTCTAAAAAAGTGTCCGGTATATGGCAATAGGTTCATCCCCTATTACATGGGACTCATAACATGCATGGTGTGCACCTCTGTCTATCCCTTCGGGGATAAAAGCGTGATGTTATGATGGTATGTAATGTTACTCCGGTAAAGCCGGCCCATTCGTGCCAAAGCACGACTCTCCCAAACTTACTTTTATCATCAGCAGCCGAAATACGTGCATTTCTCAAAAACCTACGAGTGAAATTTACTATTTCCCATGCTTACACACCTTATGGATAGCAAACATTTTATTGATGCTTCTTTACGTCCTAATTTCAGCTGTTTTAAGACACACCGGGGTCCAATTATTCTAGCCTTTATAATAAAAATCCATTTGCATTTTCCAGTTTATGGAAGGCATTGGTGGTTTACTTCTTCATTTCGATCTCTTTGTGGACACGTTCTTCACTATGTCTGGTCTACTACATATTAAGGGTCTCCTGAAAAGACGACAGACTCTGGTGGGCGTACTTTGGAAACGTTACATAAGGTAGGCGATAAACCATGTAAGGAATTCAGTACTTGTTAGCTCATTGTACTTTGCTTTTAACCTGGTCAATTTTTTTTTTTATATTGCCCCACATTAGGATTTTCTCCTGTATCGTGGGTGCGTTTACAAACATACAAGTTCACATATACATGACACCCAGACCCGAAACAAAAATTTGTGGATCACACAAAGTGTTGTTCCGTGCGGGAATCGAACCCGCGACACGTTGCACGGCAGCCGGTTGCCCAGCCACCGCGCCAACCGCGCGGTCAATGTTAACCTTTTTTTCTGAATTGCGAAGTTTTTTAGAACATATAGATGTGTTTTTAGATCTTTTAAAAGAACCTTTGGAAATCAGATAGATAATGATAAAGCATTTTTTGTTGCAGGTTAATAGGACCGTTTGCACTAATTGTTTTCTATTTAATATCTGTATCGAAGCACTTTAGTCCTGGCCCCGCCTGGATTGGAGTTGAGGAGACAGATGTTTGCGAAAGATATTGGCTAAAAAGTTTGCTCATGATGAATTCCGACGTCAGACACATTGTGAGTATGACTTGGTTTTTTTGAGACACCTAATACGATTAAGTTACCTTTTTTCCTGCCTTCTCGTTTATCCAAGTCCATTATAGACCTAATTATCTTCTTCTTTTTTTGTTCCGTAAGATTTCGTTATCTATGTCACGACTTTTTTTTATTCTTTTTTTCCTAATCCTTCACAATACCCATTTGATTGTTACTTTTGTTTCTATCCATTCAAATTTTCGAAGACAGATTCAGGTTCCTTTTTTTAATGGGATAAGCCGGGAAACGAGCAGACGGGTCACCTGATGGTAAGCAATCGGCGTCTCCCATGGACACCTAGACACCAAAGGCCTTAAAAATGCATTGCTGGCTTTTTGGAGATTAGGAATTTGAGGATTGTTGCGGATGCAATGATTGGGGAGATTGGGGAAGAGGGAGGGGGTTAATTAGGCCTATGGTAACCTCTCTCACACGACGAAACATAACGCAAGCGTTGTTTCACATCAGTTTCTGTGAGGGCGTAGTGTCTATCACTTCAGTTATCCTTATACATATATTTATTTGTGTACTACGACAATAAAGAGTATTCTAATCTTTCCAGTGTCACACAGTGACGTGGTACTTACCCTGTGACTACCAGTTGACAATCCTGGGCACTCTCATTTTCTTCATCTATCAGAGGAACAGGAGTTTGGGATTCATCTCTTACGGAATTATCGGAGTCTTCTCCATGATCATTCCTGGTCTGCTGACCCACTTGTATCAATTTCCTGGTGTACTTTTCTCGGAATACGGGTAAGATGGTGACAATTTTAATAGATTTGTAGTTATTTGTGGATTATCATAAACTAGCTTTCACCAGCGGCTTCGCTCGCGTCACAAAAGGATAAAAAGTAGCCTATGTGACATAGGTATACCAGTACACACAGCGCCATCTATACCAATACTTTTGTTTTCCCTCGGGAATATCAAATTTTTCCGGTATAAAAAGTACCCTATTATTAAATCCAGACTTCTAACTTTACGTCTGCAAAATTTCAAAGCAATCGGTTTAGTACCTAGTTACGGCGTAAAAGCGAAATAAACAAACAAACTCACTTTCCGATTTATAATAATATTAGCAAGGATTGTGACTAATATACAATATTTGAACTTGCCTTGAAGTAAGTTTGGTGTGTTCCTTACCAAAATTAGACATCGCAAGCTTGAAGGATATCATTGCTCTTGATATTTTCGAAGGATAAAAAAACTTGATCTTATTAATAAGATAACATAAAATCAAGCCTTTTACCCCCGAAGGCGTAGGCAGAGGTGCACATTATACCCCTGTAAAATGTAACACCCACTTTTCACTATTTATGTTATTTATGTTATGTGTCCCATGTAATCCATGATGAGCCAGGGTGAGCCTATTGCCATATACCGGTTACAATTTCCAGACTCCTTGCTACTACTTAGAATGTTTTTAAAACCCAGTAATACTTTGCCCGACCCGAGAATCGAACCCAAGTCGCACTTGCGACCACTCGGCGAACGAGGCAGTCTTATTAATATTATGATTAAATGCATTCATTTTAGGAAATATGTAATTCGCTATCGTGAAACTTGGGAGATCAGCTTGATCTACACGCCATTTTACAGCCGCGCTAGTACGTACCTCGTGGGTGCCGCCATGGGCTACCTCATGCATGTCTACAAACCTGATGATTATAGGAAATCTATTCCAAAAGTGAGTGTTTTTGAAAATTTCTCTATCTGCTTTGCCCGACTGCTTTTAATCATTAGACACTTGAAGCAAACACTAGCAATTTCTTAAAGGAATTTGTCTCCTACTAAATGGTATTTGTACTGTTATGAACAAGGCCTTATTGTAAATTCTAACCTAATCAATCCTTACATTGTCGTTAACAAAGAACCATACTTATAAATTATTTTCTAATCAATCCTTACATTGTTGTTAACAATGAATTACTATACTTTTAATTGCAATATAAACAATCTTCACATTATTGGTAACAAAGATCTATACTTTTAAATTACCACCTAAACAATCGGCTTATTGTTACTAACAAAAATCTAAGCACTCTTACATTGTTGTGAACAAAGCCCTATACATGTAAATTGCAATTAAAGCAATCGATACATCCTGTGGCACTTATACGCGCAAGTATAATTTATCGACTAAGGGATAACCCCCCACTACTGGCCATAGAATAAAATATACGTCTTAGTTGTGTATAGAGTCACTCCAGATAAAGTTATTCAACTATTAACACCGTTTTATATCACACAGTAATTATTGTAAGTCGAAAGTTGTGAAGTGTAAAATAAAGAAATTATTAGCAGCACTTGTGGTGTCATTTATAAAAGGGACTCCCGGAGCGCCATCCTAACAAATTTTGGTGTCAGAAGTGGTATCCTAGGAAAATACATGAGTACTGGGATCTATAGGTGTAGGCGTCGCGAATTTATTTCCACTCGTCTGCACCATAACATTTTTGTTGGCTCCGTGGTATAGTAGTCCTATTGGTGGAGTAGTCGACGATAAGCCTTGGGCTCCTCATAAAGCCTAAGCCCGCACTGCTGCATTCCTCGTGGTCGACGTTAAGCCTCCGCTGTATAGCGTGAGCCCGCATCACGCCGAACACCTTAGCTGCCTTGTGGTCGACGGTAAGTCTCCACTTTACAGTGTGAGTCCGCATCACCGCTTCACTGCAAGGACCTATTCATCAAGGTTCTACAGACTGCTCATCAGCCACGTATTCTGGGCACACCGTGTGTGTGCAGTGCAACGTGACGAAGCGCATTGGTAAAATACGACTCCCTGGGTCATTCCAAGTGCGTGTCGCAACTTCCAGAATGCTCGCGTGTGCTACGATTTTACTGTGAGTTTTTCAAAATTTATTCAGTGTTTTTAAATTAATTTGTGAAAATAATAATCGGTGCAGTGATTTTTAATTTAAAAAAAAAACGTTTTATTTTACTGAAGTCATTGTTTTAATTTTAACTCATTATATTTTATTAATTTTAAATTGCAACTTTTTCAACTGTATACATTTTTTACATTTTGTGCATGTTTGTCTGATGTTCTGTAGTATTAAATAAAGTACAAAAATTAAAATGGCTGACAAAATCACTCTTTCAGTTCTCACTAAATTCATCAAGCCATACAATGGAGATCGCGAATTGTTACCCGCATTCTTAACAAATTGTGAGAATGCGATAGCCTTAGCCACTACAGAACAACAGAACGTTTTATGTAAATATGTCATTTCGCAGTTGGAAGGAAGGCTCAAGCAGCTTGTTGTTTAAAAAGATTCAATAATTGGTCAGAGATCAAACTATTTCTTAAAACTACGTTTGGAGAGAAAAAACACTCCACTCATTTATTAGTTGATCTACAACACTGCAAACAACTTCCTTCCGAAGACGTAATGCAATTTTCAATACGTGTTGAATCTTGTTTAACTAGACTACAATCTGACATTCACTACAGCTGCGATAGTGATAAAGAACTTTTAGGTCGCCTCGCCGCTATGGAGGATTTAGCTCTTAATACATTCTTGTTAGGGTTGAACTCTAATATTGCTCATATAGTGCGGTGTAGGAACCCAAAGAAGTTATCAGAAGCGATTACACATTCTATTGAAGAAGAAAAAATATACAATTTGTCTAAACTTTCTAATCGCTCTAAACAATGCACAATATGTAATAAAAACGGTCATATTGCTTCAGAATGTTATAAAAATAAAAATAAGCATCCTAATTTACATCATTTAAATTCATCTAATTTTAATACGCAGAGTAATTTTAGTAATAATTCAGTGCAAACAAATTCTAATTTCTATAATCCAAATAAATCTTGCGCATATTGTAAAAAACGTGGTCATTTAATAAATGAATGTCGTAAACTTAAAGCTAAAAATAGCTTGCGCGATGCACATCACTCTACACTATCAAGTGGTCTTGCACCGAATACAAGTAACGCGGCGAACAATAATCGCTCTAATGTACATCATGTCGATGCGTCTTTCGATAACATTAAAACTTTAAACTAAACAGGGTTCCGGATTCGTGTCTGCCGAAACCTTCTTATTTAAATGACACGAAAAGCTCTTCAAACTGTGTTCTTAAATTTTCCCCAACACAGGTTCGCGCAAATAAGACTTTGAGTTCTTCAAACTGTGTTCCTAAATTTTCCCCAACACAGGTTCGCGCAAAAAAGACTTTGAGTTCTTCAAACTGTGTTCCTAAATTTTCCCCAACACAGGTTCGCGCAAATAAGACTTTGAGTTCTTCAAACTGTGTTCCTAAATTTTCCCCAACACAGGTTCGCGCAAATAAAATTTGAGTCTTCAAACTGTGTTCCTAAATTTTACCCAACACAGGTTCGCGCAAATAAACTTTGAGTTCTTCAAACTGTGTTCCTAAATTTTCCCCAACACAGGTTCGCGCAAATAATTTGAGTTCTTCAAACTGTGTTCCTAAATTTTCCCCAACACAGGTTCGCGCAAATAAAACTTCGAGCTCTTCAAACTGTGTTCCTAAATTTTCCCAACACAGGTTCGCGCAATTAAACTTTGAGTTCTTCAAACTGTGTTCATAAATTTTCCCAACACAGTTCGCGCAATAAAACTTTGAATCCTTCACACTGTGTTCTAAATTATATTCAACACAGGTTAATGCGTTTACAGAGACTTCTAAGTCTTTTAATAAAAAGATAAATACTAATTCAAATTTTCAAGACAGTCCCTCATCTCGTGATAAATCGAGTTTTATTTCTAGGGATTGCTCACGTGAGGAAACATTTACTATTAATTATATGCACAATAAAGTTTCTCTACCTCACGTTTATTTAAAAACAAATGTTAACGATAAACCTTTGTGTTTTTTAATTGACACTGGTTCAACTATATCTATTGTAAAATTTTCTAGTTTACAAAATAAGCCAGTGCTTGGTTCCGAAATTGTAAAACTTAAAGGCTTAAGTGACAACGATTCCTATTGCCAATCTCTCGGATCCATTAAACTCAATTTTGAACATCGCGTTTCTTCAAAAAGCAAAATAACATTTGAATTTATGTTTCACGCGATTAACGATACGATCAATTTAGATTATGATGGCATTATTGGTAGTAATTTCATTCAACACTTTAAAATTGATGTTCAATATTCTACCAACACTCTTAATTTAGAAGGTTATGAAATACCTATTTGTTGTAGCAAGCCATCATACATCATACCACCACGGTCAGAAACGGTCATTGAGTGTCCAGTTTCCAATCTGTCAGATATCGATGACATAAAAGAAGGTTTAATACTAGATCATAAAATTCGTGATGGTGTATTTTTAGCAAATTGCATAGTAAATTTAAAATCAAATAACAGAATAAATGTTTCTGTTCTGAATACTACCGAATCTGAAATCGAAATAGACGACTTTCCAGTTAAACTTATACCATTTCACCTTGCTCCTTCTAAGTCAAACGAAGCTCAATCAGAACTCATTAATCAAATAACTTCTTTAAATATTGATCGATCTGAAAAGGTTCTCGACCAAATAAGATGTTCTCATTTAAATTCAGAAGAAAAGAAAGCTCTGATGAAATGTCTTCTTAATTATACAGACATCTTTCATCTTGATGGCGAGCTCTTAACTTATACTGATGTAGTAAAACATTCTATAAATACTAAAGATGCAGCCCCTATACATGTAAAGTCGTATCGGTTTCCAGAAATACATAAAGATGAAGTTGAGAAACAAATCAAGAAAATGCTTGATCAAAATATTATTCGCCCTTCATGTTCCCCTTGGAATGCACCAGTGTGGGTAGTACCCAAAAAATTAGACGCTTCCGGTATACAAAAATGGCGTATCGTCATAGACTATCGGCGTCTGAATGATGTCACAGTTTCTGAGGTTTATCCTCTTCCCTCATAACAGACATCTTAGATCAACTTGGTCATTCCAAATACTACTCCACGCTTGATCTAGCGTCAGGTTTTCATCAGTTATTGTTAGATCCTAAAGACACTGAAAAGACAGCATTTAGTGTCACAACCAATAGCATTTCAGGTCAATTTGAATTTACCAGAATGCCTTTCGGTCTGAAAAATGCTCCTTCCACATTTCAAAGAATGATGAATCTTGTTCTTTCAGGATTACAAGGTCTCCATTGTTATATATATTTGGATGACTGTATTATCTATTCTCATGATCTTGAATCTCACATGCGGAAGTTGCAATCTGTATTCGATAAACTCAGACAGGCAAATTTAAAATTACAGCCCGACAAGTGCGAATTTTTGCGCCGAGAAGTTGCTTATTTAGGGCATGTTATTACTGATAAGGGTGTTTCGCCTAATCCAGATAAGGTGAAGGCTATTTCTCAATTTCCAATACCGAAAACCCCAAAAGATGTAAAATCTTTTTAGGATGACAGGTTATTATAGGCGTTTTATTGAGAATTTCTCCCATATAACAAAGCCTCTCACATCTTTGTTAAAAAAAGATGTTAATTTTCATTGGGCTCATGAGCAACAACATGCTTTTAATACTCTAAAACAAAAGCTTATCTCAGCTCCTTTATTACAATATCCCGATTTTTCTAAACTCTTTATAGTAACAACGGATTCTTCAAATTATGCCGTTGGTGCAGTCTTATCTCAGGGTGAGATCGGTAAAGATAAACCCATTGCATATGCGTCCCGGACTTTAAATAAACAAGAAGGGAATTACTCAACCACTGAGAAAGAGCTCCTTGCCATTCTTTTGCCGTTAATACATTTCGACCTTATCTCTATGGTTACAAATTTAAAATTGTGACAGATCATCGTCCTTTAACATGGCTTTTTAACGCGAAAGATCCAGGCGGACGTCTATTAAGATGGCGACTAAAGCTAGAAGAATATAATTATGAAATCGTTTACAAACCCGGCAGAGTCAATAGTAACGCCGATGCACTATCTCGTTATCCCGTAAACGCTGTTACCACTCGTAGTCGTAAAAAAATTCTACCTCTTATGAGGAATATTTAAAAAAACAGGACAATAAGACTTTACCTGATTGCGATACGAAAATTGAAGAACACAACGAGAGCTTACATAAAGCAAAACAAAAGTATATCGCTTGTCCAGTCCTCTTTAGATTTAGATAATTCAATGCCACATTGTGAGCAATTTATCAATGACTGAGAATTCTGAGAAATATCGAGCCAGTGAACGTGAAATTAACACAGTGCAGATGCTCGATTGTAAAAATGACAAAATATTATATTTCTTATTTACTAAAGTTCATCATTTTGACGAAACGAGTTACAAAATCATTTATGATCTGCTTGTCAAATTAAGAGACGAAATTGTTTTAAAAAATAATTCTCAGAAAGAATTAGCGTTGTCCGATTTTACTGAACCATTTACAAGGTTAGTTTATACAAAATTTATAATATGATTTCACATATTTTCCACGGCACTAATATTAAAATACACATTTATAAAAATCAATTACTTTATCCTACCCTGCTGAAATATCTAATATTCTGAAAGAAAATCATGGGACGACCATAGCTGGTCACCCCGTGTTAAACGCATGTTAAGTAGAATTAAAGCTTCCTATTATTGGAAAGGTATGCGGTCTGATATCGAAAAATTTGTCAAAAATTGTAAGATGTGCCAAGTTAATAAGCCACTGCGAGCTTCCAATAGAGCACCTATGATTATAACTTCGACAAGTTCAAAGCCGTTTGAAAGATTAGCCATTGACATTGTAGGCACTTTACCTGAAGCGGGTCTCCAAAAATTTAAATACATATTAACGCTCCAGGACGATTTAACAAAATTTTCAAACGCCTATCCAATGGTTACTTGTACCACTGATGAAATTGCACGCAATCTCATACATTTCTTTTCGTTATTCGGTTTTCCCAAAATCATACTCTCCGATCAAGGTACATCGTTTACCTCAGAATTATTTAGGCAATTAACAGAAATACTCAAAATAAAAAATCTGTTTTCTACGCCTTATCATCCACAGACAAATGGAGCACTAGAACGTAGTCATGCTACCCTTAAAGAATATTTGAGGTCATTTGTTAATGAAAACCAGGACGACTGGCATAGCTATCTCGCAACAGCGATCCTATCATACAACACAACTCCACATTGTTCTACAGAATATTCTCCTTTTGAACTTTTATACGGTTATAAGCCGACGATTCCTAGTAGTGCATATGAATCGAACAATAACATTACTTATCAGGAATACATTCGCGCTTTACAGTATCGGATGAGATACTCTCGTGAAAAAGCTATTCAAAATATGAACAAATGTAAAGAAACATCAAAAATCTATTATGATTCAACAGCACGTGAAAAATCTTATAAAACTGGTGATTCTGTTTATTTAAAATTTCATCATAGGCTTCGAAAAGCCTTATCTCCAGTATGGAAAGGACCTTATAAAATAATCAAAACGCATGGTAAAAACAACGTCACCCTTCTGGTTAACAGAAAACACATTAAATATCATGTTAACGAAATAAAACCAGCATAGTATTGTTCCAGGTATCTCGTGAACATTCTATCATCGACGTATCTAAGTTTACAGTTTGTTACTATAATAACAAGCTAATGTTTGTCATTCAAGTTCTTATAATAAATTTTATAAAGTTCAACCTCTACAAGAATTTGCCACAGCTTACTCCTCATGATACTAAGCATTGTTTAACTTATGCTTTGATTTACCCTTCTAAGCTATATGTAGCAATAACGGATGACAGATTGTCTTACACCTTTGTAGATAATATTCACGAATGTAAAACTGTTAAGAGTATTTAATGTGTCCATTGCCATAAATTTAGACAACCATAAATAATCTTTCATGTGAATCCTAGTTATTACAAAAGTTATCTTATCACTCCCAGAGAATTTTGAGTCTAAATATATTTATGGTAACATAAATGTTTGGCAAAAAAAAATTAATGATAATAAATACATATAAGAAACTTAGATAAATCAAATAGAAACCTCTAGTTTATAAGAAAACTATTTTTTGTTTTTGTTTTATTTTTATGGTATAGCTATTAAGATTAAATTTTAAATTTTATTTCTTTACTAGACAAGTATATTCAAATGTAACGATTTATTTTTTTCTAACTATTAAGATTCATGTTATACCTCTATAAGACTTTCTAGATTTTGTTTTGTGACTTAAATGTAACTGAGTTTTATTTACAGATTAATTTTCAAATTGATGATACGTCTTGTCCTTCGCTTTATTATTAAGAAAGAATATAGTAATAAAAATAAACATTTTAAATAAAGCTCAGTCTAAAGGGGGGAGATGTTATGAACAAGGCCTTATTGTAAATTCTAACCTAATCAATCCTTACATTGTCGTTAACAAAGAACCATACTTATAAATTATTTTCTAATCAATCCTTACATTGTTGTTAACAATGAATTACTATACTTTTAATTGCAATATAAACAATCTTCACATTATTGGTAACAAAGATCTATACTTTTAAATTACCACCTAAACAATCGGCTTATTGTTACTAACAAAAATCTAAGCACTCTTACATTGTTGTGAACAAAGCCCTATACATGTAAATTGCAATTAAAGCAATCGATACATCCTGTGGCACTTATACGCGCAAGTATAATTTATCGACTAAGGGATAACCCCCCACTACTGGCCATAGAATAAAATATACGTCTTAGTTGTGTATAGAGTCACTCCAGATAAAGTTATTCAACTATTAACACCGTTTTATATCACACAGTAATTATTGTAAGTCGAAAGTTGTGAAGTGTAAAATAAAGAAATTATTAGCAGCACTTGTGGTGTCATTTATAAAAGGGACTCCCGGAGCGCCATCCTAACAGTACGAAAAATACTTCGCCAACACTATTGTTACACAACGAAAAGACCGGATAATGTAAATAATCTGTAAATGAAAAAGAAATAAACTCATAGAAAACCGACGTGAAGCAACGCTTGCGTTGTGTTTCGTCGTGTGAGTGAGGTTACCGGAGGCCCAATTACCCTTCCCTTCCCCAATCTCCCCAACCCCTGAATCCCCAACGATCATCAAACTCATAATTTCCAAAAGGCCGGTAACGCACTTGTAACCCCTCTGGTGTTTCAGGTGTCCATGGGCGACGCCGATTGCTTACCATCAGGTGATGCGTATGCTCGTTTACCGGCTAATGCCATAAAAAAAAGAACACTGCATCAATGGAGCCGACTTTTTTAACATACACCAGATGGTAAGCAATCGGCATCGCCCATGGATACCCGAACACCAATTGTTTTACAAGTGCGTTACCGGCCTTTTGAGGAACGGTAGCCTCACTCACACAACGAAACACAAGACAAGAGTGGTTTAGTAACACGTCGGTTTTCTGCTCGGCCGTGGTATCACTCCGGTCGAGCCGGCCCATTCTTGCCGAAGCATGGCTCTCCTACACTTAAATTTAGTACGATTTACTTTAGTATTTCATTTTTCTTCCAGATATGGTCCATAATTGGTATAGCTGTGAGTTTAATCACAATGGTGGCCACGATGTCCCTCGGTTTTATACTCAAACAAAGAGGACGGTACCCAATAGAAGCTGTCGTCGTCGCAGCTACCAATAGAATCTTCTGGGCTGCAGCCATCTGCTGCATTATAGGGATGTGTGAATATGGAACTGTTCGTAAGTATTGTGGTATTATATTTATAAATAGCGAACCGCCCCGGCTTCGCACGGGTGCAATATGTATGTATTATACGTATAAACCTTTCTTAAGAATCACTCTAGCTATTAAATAAAACCGCATCAAAATCTGTTGCGTAGTTTTAAAGATCTAAGCATACATACAGACGGCGGATAGCGACTTTGTTCTATACTATGTAGGTAGTAATGACTCAGACAACTCAGTTGATGTTACACTGTACAGTGGCACTAAGTGCCGTAATAAATGTACACCTCTGCCTACCCCTTTGGAGATAAAAGGCATAATGTTATATTAATTGTATTTGTTTTATAGCTATAGTCTCCAAAATCCTGAACTGGTCCGTGTTTACGCCTCTCAGTCGACTTTCCTACGGCATTTATATGACACATTCCCTCGTCATACAGAGGTACAAGCTTGCACAAAGGTCGGCTCATCTTTTCGATATCTTTTGCATGGTAAGTAGGTATGTACGTACAATTACGTATCACCTTTCTTACCTCAGTTTATTACCCCAATGCTCCCAAAAACCCCATTTCTTCTGCTTCCCTATCTTCTCTGACTTCTTAAATCTGAACTTTGTACAAATAGTAAATTTATCTTTACGTTGTTTATATTAAAACTTGTGTGAGATACCTATACTACATTAATTATTATGTTTTCGGCTTACTCACCTATCTGTTTGACGAAGAACTCGACTAGTTTCAAGCCATGCTAGAGGCTCATATTCATTCGTGCTAAGTGCGTATGTAGTCAACGCTCACAGCTACGCGGCTTCGTAAAGTACATTATAGTAGGTAAGGTATACAGGACGATACTAAAACGAGCCACGCTGAGTCTTAGCGCTTTCAAACTACGCGCTGGACTATGGGTACATGACGGTCAGCATGAGGCTATAGTCAACTTAAGCAGCGCCATGCACCTATGCATTGTAAAACGCAATATCAAGTATTTCTACAAGTCACGGCTCATTAATTTCAACAGGAACATAATGATGTTTCCAAATGGTTTTCATGTGAATCGATCCGATAGGAAACTTTTTTTAATTATTTTTGTTATTTCTATTCTTCACATCGAGTCGTTACAACATCTCTGTACTTTTTCATTCAAGTATACACGAATTTTCAAGTAACTCGGTTTTTATTCACAAACCAAGTAGGACCCTCTTATATCTCACAAGCAGACACTAAGATTGTCTATTATTTGTGCTCATTGCATTAATTGTCATTTGTTTTGCAGGTTCACGACGTTTTAGGAACCCTGACGATGGCAATAGGACTAAGTTACGCAATGTGGCTGTTTGTAGAGGCGCCACTGATCAACATCACCAACCAACTGTTCTTCAACAAGTACGTTATAGACCTAAATATCATTTTTATACTAGTTTTAATATCATCCTCATCAACAGCCTATAAATGCCCACTACTGAGCAAAGCCTCTTCTCACACGGAGAAGGTTTGAGCATTAATTAGCACGCTTGCTCATTGCGAACAGGTTCAGGTTTCCTCACGATGTTTTTCTTCACCGTTTGTCAGTGGTGTCTAGATATTAGAAAGTACATATATCTCGAAAAAAGTTACATTGGTACTTGCCGTCGGTAGGTTTCGAACCAGCATCCTCATACATGAGAAGAACTCTTAAAGTGTCAAACACCAAGCGGTCACCGGTGACCGCAACCCATTGTTCTTTAATTGTGTCTATAAATACGGTACTCGACGAGTTAAATCTCCGGGGCACCACGACATTAGTCATTACTCATCATCAGTTTTAATATGCCAAAAAGGTATCCAGTTCTTTCTTACCAGTCGCTTATACAGCCAAAATAACTGAACTTATATTTAACAGGTCTACTGAAAAAGAATCTAATAAAAGCCGTGATGAGAATGGAATCCAGCATCAGAATGGGGCAGCTAAGACCAAAATTTCGTAAGTTTCAAATACCTATTAGATAAACCTCTAAAACTAACGCTTTAGCTTCTTCAATAATAGGTAACCTAATTGATCGAACGACTGTATGGAGAATGCACGGTTGGCGCAATGGCTTTTTTGAGGGGGGAATATAATCCAATGACTTCTCCCGCCTTGGGTTAGAGAACAGTGTCAGACCCTTACTGACTAAAATCTACCCTGTGCCTACTCCTGCTCTTAGACCCCGAGCCCCACCGTAAGCACGGGTCTGCGGACGGCGAGCACGGGTAACTCGCCGCCCGACCATAACCAGGCCCGAGCGTATGGCGCGTCGCATTCTGCACGCACCTCAAGGAGCCATCAGACCACCACAGATGGGGCCCAATAGGCTTAACGGGTTGCCGGGGCTCCGGTTCGAAGTGCAGGAGTAGGAACGGGGTGGTTTTTACTCAGTAAGAGTCTGACACTCGCTCTCACCACACCCGGGCGAGAGAAGTCATTGGATGATTTTCCCCCCTTAAAAAAAGAGAGACCCCAGTTGGGTAACCGACTACTGCGCAACGTGTAGCGGGTTCAATTACCGCACAAATTGTTGTTTCGGGTCTGGGTGTCATATGTATGTGGACTTGTACGTTTGTAAACGCACCCACGACACAGGAGAAAATCCTAGCAAAGCTTAAAAAAAGGAACTTTAAGTTCGTACCAGAGTTGAAAACTATACAGTTTTTTAAACTGACTTTTTTTCAAACAGGTTATACAAAGCAGAACTGGATACAAGTAGTGACGAGAATGGAATCAAACATCAGAATGGAATAACTAAGGCCAAAATTTTATAACATTTAGTTTTTAAACTGGTAGATAATTGTAATTCTCACATGTGTTATGTTATAGTAAATGATAATAATTACACTATAATTAACGATAATAATAGTTTAAGTTATTTAGTAAACTAAACTACCCGCCCGCTCCTGTTTTATCCCATTTTTTTTAAGTTGGGTTAATCATCTAATGCCTTCTCCCACTCGGGTGAGGCGTGAGGGAATGTCAGACTCTTACTGATTAAAAACCACCCCGTTCCTTCTCCTGCGCTTCAAGCCAGAGCCCCGGTAACCCGTTAGGTTCTCCACGGCTCCGTATCGGCATCAGCCCTATTGGGCCCCATCCGTGGTGCTCTGATGGCTCTTTGAAGCGCGCGCGGAACGCGACGCGTCGTTCGCTCGAGTCTGATTTTGGTCAGGCGGCGAGCTACCCGTGCTCGCCGTCCGCAGGCCCGCGCTTACGGTGGCCGGAGATCGCGATCCCCGACGCCCGGAGTGTCCTTCGCGGCTAGGTTGTGCGCCCCACCTCCTTTTTAGCTAGCATGACTGCTTGGCAAAAGGAGCAGATGGCATCCCAGTTTTCCTCGCTCTGCATTATGGCCCGAATTAGAGCCGGACGCGAGAGGTCTCCATCGCCGATCACACGTTTTATTACATGGGAATATTTAATTGAGATAAAAAGTCCTATCACCTAAGTCAGCCCATACCATGCTTGTATACCAAATTTCAAAATCCGTTCAGTAGTTTCAGCGTTTAATTTCATTAGAGGTATGTATATTCATTTATTTTCATTGTATAGTGGCTGACTGGCTCGTTGGCCGAGTGGTCGCAAGTGCGACTGCCGAGTATGGGGTCTCGGGTTGGATTCCAGGGTCGGGCAAAGTATTATTGGGTTTTAAAAAAAATGTCAGTAGTAGCACAGAGTCTGGAAATGTGCCCGGTATATGGCAATAGGCTCACCCCCTATTACATGGGACTCATAACATAAATAGTGAAAAGTGGGTGTTACATTGTACAGTGGCATAATGTACACCTCTGCCTACCCCTTCCGGGATAAAAGGCGTGATGTTATGTTATGTTTATACCGTGGTTTATACCAACGATATAATTTATCATTTGGACACTACCTTTAATAAAGGTAAAATTTATATAGTAGGCAAAACGATAAATTACAAAATAAAGCTCTCTCTAACAAAATTTAGGAATGAACCCAGACGGCCGGAATTTGGGGTTGCCTAACCAAAACAATTAGTGGAATCAAACTGGATCCCTAGTTTCGGTCTAGTGGCGCCCTCTACGCGCCATTGGTTACTTAACGACCCGATTAAATGTTCTGGTGACATCTACGTATACTGTAGAATTACTTATAATCTGTAGTATAAATAATTATTGGGTATTAAAACGTATTTAATTCTGTATATTCACGGTTCACTGGACAACCGGTTGCCGCGCAACGTGTAGCGGGTTCGATTCCAGCCCGGGACAACTGTTTGTCGTTACAAACAGTAAGATAACATCACGCTTTTTATCCCCGAGGGAGTAGGCAGAGGTTCACATTGCGGGACTTAATGCCACTGTACAATGTAACGCCCACTTTTCACTATGGCTGCGGTACAGGTTTCAGGCACATGACATGCCCTAGCAATTATGTAGAACTAGCTTTTACCCGCGGCTTCACTCGCCTCACAAAAGGATAAAAAGTTAGCCTATGTGACATATACCAATACATACAGCGCCATCTATACCAATACTTTTGTTTTCCCTCGGGAATATCATCTTTTCCGGGATAAAAAATACCCTATTATTTAATCCAGACTTCTAACTTTACGTCTGCAAAAATTCAAAGCAATCGATTTAGTAGTTACGACGTGAAAGCGGAACAAACAAACAAACTCACTTTCCAATTTATAATATTAGTAAGGATAAGGATTAAGACACATAAACTGTAATTTTTCTTTATATTTTTTAGGAAGAACAAAATAATGGTATTAGGTTAGGTAGACACAGCTCAGTTTACAAAGATCTAGTATTATATTTATAGGTAAGTTACCTACTTAGCGATTTCCAAGATGCGCTGCGGAGTAATTAGCCAACTGATGGATTCTGAATTTTTAAGCTACGAGCTACTACCATTTTTTGATCTGTTACGTATTATAGCAATTAGGTACTTGCCTTTATCAAAAATAAATTATTTCGACTGTTCAATACCATAAAATATAAAACAATAATCACAATTCCATTAATTGATTTAATTTTAGTATTTTTCCAGCAATTTTTTAGTAGAAAGACGGGACGTCACAATACAGTCTCGTACAAAATTCATAGAAAAGTATCGTTTTTGACAGTTCGAAAAAGTATTGAATTTTACATAGTTGCTATGAATAAGTACAGTAATCTCCGTTGCCAAAGAAGAGAAAAAAAAATAAGAAGTACAGTAATGTCGTGGTCGCTCGGAGGCTTAAGACGCCCGCTTCTCACTTCTTATGCATGAGAGTGCGGGTCCAAAACCTACCAAAGGCAAGTACCAATGTAACTTTTTCCGAATTATACGTACTTTCTAAGATTATCTAGACACCACTGACAAACGGTGAATGATAACATCGTGAGGAAACCTGGACTTACAATTTCTAATTATAAGTTTAAAATCGCCAATCCGCATTGAGCAACCGTGGTGATTATTGCTCTAAAATCTTATCCTTTTTCCTTCAAAAAAAAAGGTTTAAGGTAAGGCCTATAAGTACGGGTCATGATGCGGAGCGAGGGGGGACTGGAATGCCGTCTCCTCCTTTTGCGAAGCAGTCATGCTAACTAAAAAGGAAGCGGGGCGCGTGAGGCAGCGAAGCGGTGCCTCCTAGCAACCCAGCCATCGCGAAGGACACTCCGGGCGTCGGGGATCCAGAAACAAACCCGAGCGTAGGGTGCGTCGCGTTCCGCGCGCGCCTCATAGAGCCATCAGACCCCCACAGATGGGGCCCAACAGGGCTGATGTCGATTCGGAGTCGCGGAGAACCTAACGGGTTACCGGGCTCGAAGCGCAGAAGAAGGAACGGGGTGGTTTTTAGTCAGTAAGAGTCTGACTCTCCCTCCCGCCTCACCCAGGCGGGCAGTCATTCGATGATTTTCCCCCCTTAAAATAAAGGCCTATAAGTAAGTATCTATTTGTGCAAAATGGAGAAGACTTTTATTTGCAGACTAGAGCCTTAGACAATACATTTCCTGCACGCAAGGTCAAGGTCCTACATACCTATTCGTCTACGTGCTATATACGAACTAAATTTTGAAAATTTTCCATCCGTCTACAATTTAGCATACAAAACCAGTTAATCATTGCCATTTTTTATTTTTTGCTTTAATTGCCTATTAAATGCCATTTGTGAACCGATTTCCAAAATTCTTGTTTTGTTTAAAGGGGTCCGAGATGGTCCCATTTTCATGAAGTCAGTACCTGATGATGCAATTCTAGGAAACCGAGGGGAACTTTCAAAACTTGTAGGGGCGAGTAATGCGTCTATTATATTTTTCAATTAATATTTTAAACAATACTATTATTGAAATGTCAAAAACAATACTTTTTTATGAATTTTGTATTGGATCGCTACTTATGCCGTCATCATATTTCTGCGTCAAACAGCATACTTATTTCAATAAAATTAGCGAGAAAAATCCATAAGTAGGTAAATTATCAAATCAATGGATGAGATTATGATTATTTTTAAATTATTTATTGCATTGAAATGTTGATTGCAGTGGTATAATGTGCACCTCTGCCTACCCCTTCGGAACAATTTATTTAAAACCTAGGAAACTACCCAATTAGATAAGGGTCTGGAGTCGACCTGATGATGGAGCCGACAGACATTCGAGGGAACTCATCAACGGTTTATATTAACTACCTTGTGTTTGGGCTTGATTAATTTGTACTGATTAGAACTTTTCACCTATGGCGATTATAAGTGACAAAACGGATCTATATAGCTTTACACTAAAAATAAAAAAATAAAAACTGCATTAAAAAAACCGACTTCAAAAACCAAAAACTAATGACAAACAAAAAGTAAAAACTAAAAAGCAAAAAAATACTATTATTAGTACTGATAGGTTACCCACACACTGATAGGTTAGAAGTCGGTGCTATTTATTATAGGTATCTAATATTACCTAGCTTCACCTAGTTTCACTGACAGACTGACTGACAGACTATTATTTATTTTGTATTTGTTGACGTTTCAAAAGTACCAAACTATGGTTTAATTGAAATAAATGCTTTGACTTTGACTTTGATTATAATTGTATTTAATACTTGACTGACATGACCGAATGTTTATTTATCATAGAAAGTAAATAGTAATCTACCAATTGCTATGACATGTAATAGAGGCACGCTCAGAAGTGGCTTATTGCGCTTTCAGCTTCGTAGAACGAGCTTCAAATGGAAGAATATAAGATGCTGGTATATTTTTTTTACTTACTTACTATCAGAAATAGTACTTAGTAATAAGATAATTAAGTTCAATTTATGTTAAATTATGTGCAGACAATATAAGTATATTATACTTGTACCTACTATAGCGATGATGACAGAGCATGAAAATTAAAAATCTATATATTTTGTC